TTCTTTTGTAGTATTCGTGTACTTACTGTTTTCAGTTTCTATTGATGTAGCCACCTTGGGTCCTTTTTAAGGAGAAAAGTGTGGTAAAATAAATAAATATCCCATTGATTCAGAAGGCCTACTGTAAGTGAACTGCAAACTGGATTCAAACCAAACTCTTTTAGGATGACCACAGCGAATACCCAAGGTAGCTAATTTCATGGCCAAGCAGAAATTGGAAGCAATGCCTTGATCACCACCAAGCTACTGCACCATATACTACATCAGAAGTGACTTAGACACAAGTTTCCCATTCTCTCTTTGGTTCCAGATTTCCTTTGGGATGAATCAAATTCACCCTCCCAGCTCTACAATAAAGAGTCAATTACCATGCAATAAACTACATTTGCCATGTGATTTATTTGTTTATGAGACATTTGTTATATTTCTAATTTTTTAGTTCATTTACTCAGCACCTAATAAAATGAGGATACTGGATTATTAGGAGAAAACAAGTAATTATTTGCACAGCAATGACAACTCCTATACCACAAAGAGAATCGATTAAAAAGTTAACTCACATGTAACTTAAGAGAGGAAGTTGATGGGAATAAAAGGACTGAGAATATTTGTATTTCCCAAACAACTGTCAGTGAGAGCAGAGTAACAGCTATGTTATTAGATGAGTTCAGAAAGGGTATCCATTTGATGTATGCTTTTGGTGCACCATGTGGAACTCGTCCTTCTCTTTCCCTCTACAAACCCAAAATATAGCCAGAAAATATTTCAGAAGCACCCAACAATTTAGAAATCCAGGTGTCCCAAATGAAAAGTGCATAGTATCTTCTAAGGCAGTGGTTCTTAACCTTGGTTACTCAGGTGTTTTTGAATTGCAACTCCCAGAAACCTCAGCCAGCAGAGCTGATAGTGAAGGCTTCTGGGAGTTGCAGTCCAAAAACATCTGAGTAACAAAGGTTAAGAACCAGTGTTCTAAGGGAACAAACCTTTCTTGAATAAAGTGATAAAACTTCAAAAATGAATTTAACTGGCCATCTAGTTGGTGCAATGCTTCTGAACAGAGAATGTTCTCTCATTGTCTTGACCTCCTCCCTGCCACTTTTTTCCTGCTCTTTTATTGGAGCACCCACATACTTGCCTCCATTCCTCTCTTACCTCATGCCTCTAGTTGCATCCATTTAGAAAAAGTGCCAGGCTGGGAGAGGTGACTGTACTGTACTGTGAAAACAATTAGACTTCTGAAGAAGGCAATAACAAATACGCCACTAGGGGTCAAATAATGACAATCCACATACAGTACGTACTATTTTCTGTAACTTCCACTGTTTAATTCCAAATAAATAATTTAATAAATAAATAAATAAATAAAGTTCATTAAACAAAGAAATTTTTTTCAGATTTCAAAGTTGATAAGAATTAATTCTTCTCTGCATTTTTAACATTTAATACTAACCCATTTATCTACTAATCTTCAAGTCTATATGTGCAGCTTGCCAGCACTGGGTGTCCTAATCTGCATACAGTATCTGACATTTTAGGAAAAACACAGACAAGGTTGCAATCACACAGGGAGAAAGAGATGCATCTGTTTGTACTGGAAAGGGTTGCTTTGCGAGGTGCAATCTGCCTCAATGCAACCCTTCCATACATCAGGGTATAATTCCAGCCCAGTTCCTAAAAATAGTAGTCCTTCTGCTGGACCCAGATCAGGGTCAAACTGGAGCACTATTGCAATATGTTGCCTGACTGCTGGGAAATAGCTTACACTGGACTGTGTCACAAGCAATCCAAAGTGTGAGCTATACACTCTTACTCTTCATCTGGAGACATTCTAGGACACTCTCACAATTCTAGACAACACACAAGGGAAACAAAAGAAGTGACTATTTTTTCTGCTGCAGCATTTCAAGCAGTTAAACATGTGAATAGATCTTGGATTTGAAAAGAACCTCTGATGTCTATAAACTGGAATGGACTCTTCAAGGAATGGCTAGTTTTCATGTCCAGAGTTGGTAAGAATTCATTTTCTAGACTACAAATCTCAGAATCCCCAGCTGCCTGGGGTCTTTTGAGAGCTGCAGTCCAAAAATACAAGCTCCATTTCTAATACTTTCTATTGTGCAAGTACTGGGAACACTAACTCAACAGTATGGAAGAAAAATAATTTTTCTGGTGAAAGACTTCCCAGGAAGTTGACCACTGTCATGCAGAATTAATCTGAGGCACAAGGAATGTCACCCCCCCACACACACACACTTTCAAATAATAATTCCAGAAGATCTCAGTATAGGGAACTGCAGATGGACGTTGTTATCAGTGGCACAGAAAAACTCAAAAGGTGGGAGAAGAGCAACAAAGGAGGCACAGCCAGTCCTCCACACCGTCTGTCTTGGCTTACAGTCAAGCTGCAAATCCCACAGAATGCCAAAATTCTTGGCTTTCATTTTAAAGTAATCACACTGCATCTCATTATGAGCACAGTTCTGGAAAGAACACTGATCCAAATTACAGCAACAAGAGAATACAACTGTGTTCTCTAGCCCCACCCCAATGCTGCCTATACTCAGTAGACTCTCTCTGTGCCAACAGTGGGGAAGGAGTTCCTTAGGGGAACCACCACCGCCCCACAAGAAGATTTTGCTTTACATGTGTAGACTCAACCTGATGTGCCTTATTTGGGTGCAGGTCTAGAATGCTAGGCTTTGAGTTTCCTTTCCATTTTCATCCTGCTCTATATGGAACCAATAATGCCTGAATAGGACTATGGTTGCAGAATGAAATGTATCTGCTGAACAAAATACTTAAAAGGATTTTAGGCATACCTTCTAAATACCTGTTATAAGCATCACCTTTTTAAATGTTAATGGAAAAAATCCAAAAAGTTGGGAAGAACTTCCCCTCACAGCAAGCAAACAAAATACTATTTTTAAAGTTGATAACTATATGGCAAATAGTTTTAAATGCACAATTCATCTCAATATTAGTATTAGCCTCACAACACTAATAATTTGACATTTAGTTTCATAATTCAGTATTAGTTTCACAGAATTAAAGACATAAAATTTTGTGCACTCTGGCTACAAGCCAAGATCCTTAATGGTATAGTACAGGTGAGAGATGAAGGGGAGAAAGAAAAAAAAATAGTTAACAAAGGCAGTTTGTAAAGACCCACACCCCTGTCTTTTTTCATAGGAAGAACACACATAATTTCTATATGTGTGTTGCACAACAAAGTGTAGACATTTCCTTGGGATACTTCTTTCTTACAAGCGGCTGTGGAGGGAAACACCGTTCTCCTCCAGCTTGGAACTTTTCAACTAGAGTAAGGCTTCTCATTTTGCATTGTGTGCATTAAGTTCCAAAATGCAGTGGTTTCAGAGTCCTGTGCTTCCTGGAGGTCCCTTTGCTTCCCAGTTAAGCTCTGAACAGTATGAGAAGGGTGAAATGTTTCCTCTCTGCATGAAGTATATTTCAGTTGTTGTCTGAAAGAAGATCTTACTCCTTTGCTCATAAAGTCCATAACTTAAACTGCATTCAAACTGCAAGGGTTGGGCAGGATTTGAAGGTCACCACATGCAGACTACTGCAGTGATAAGGTATTCACACCCACACATACCTGTTACCTAAAAATCATCAATGCCATTATTCACCCAAAAAATGTAGACTAGAGCAGTCCAAACAAAAGAGACCACATGCACTCTTTCAGAGGTGCCGATCAAACTAGAAAAAAAATCTTCTAAAACACACTCAGAGTATAAAGTAAAACTTACTTAACAAAGATAAATTAATTCAAAGCTCTTTAATCCATCTTTGTAGCCTTTGCAGAGTGTTTAAACAGGGGATTTTTCCCAGTCCTTTCAAGGCATGTTTACACACTACTTGTGCGCACAAGACTGTGTCTATTAGTTCTTCTGGACTGATCACCAAGGAGTGTATTAAGTACTCCTCTATCTACATGGCGCCAAAGTGTGCAAGCAAGCTGGCACTCAGGATGCATGCAACGGTGGAGTAACGTGTAGAAACACACAGGATGGGCAGCACTTAAGGGCCGAAAGAGACCCAAACAGGAATCTCTTCCCTCCAATCCTCTGCTCCTAAAACCAGGGCACATCAGTTTGCGGGAAAACTGTAGAGGACAAATACACTTTGGGTTGTTTGTTCCTCATGCAGTGTCAGGGGGATTTGGGGTTTTTTTTTAAGGGACCAGCAAAGAGCCCCCAGCCGGGAACCGTCTTAGCATGGAAAAAATTGCATGCCACCCAGTGGATCAGGCCCATCCTTCCCACCCACTGCTGCTTA